ATTCAAATTTATGACAGACATGTTTGAGATAAGATTTACATTATAATTTGGTGTTGCTACTATGGTTCATATACGCTGTGCATATCCTTTATTTAAATAAACAACCAGACGAATATTCATGACAGGTTTTACACCTGTAGCGCCGGTGTAAAACTTCTATTATACACTAGTGAGGTAATGCTATGCTTTAGAAGATCAATACCAAGGAAGTAAGACTGTCTACAGGTATCACATATTCGTAAACTATGCTTTGATCTCGAAGAACTCTACCGAAGGAGATTTGTAAACTATGCTATGCTCTCGAAGAACTCTACTGAAGGAGTTAGACAACCTACACGTATCATACACTAGTGAACTATTGATATGGTCTTGAGGGAAAAAAGTACATGAACCTACAAATTAACACTTTTTATACATTAATGCGTCAATAGTATAGAAGAATATGGGCATACCAATCGACATTTTCTGTAGATTATTCAATCAATAATACAGACTTTTTAATAATAATATTAGTAAACAACATTTATATAGTCCCCAATAAAATTTGTAAATTACTCTGAAGCGCTTTAAAACACATGAATACTAGTATTGGTAGATATAGTAGATAAAAAGGCATACAAATCAGCAATATGCATTACGTTACAAGACGGTGATATCAATATGCATATGGAGGAATATATCAAAGGTGGTGTGTACTTGAAGTCTGTGAAAGGTGTCTAAAATGAATACTTTAAGAGATGGGTCTTTATATTCTTCTTGTATTTAGCCAGGTTTTTTGACAGAAATGGATCAACGATATTTATATGAAAAGAGAACATTAAAAAACATATAACTTGTTTAAAATTTACCTAAATCAATCTTGGTTCAACAAAAAGATTATTTCAGTGATTGAACCGTGTTTATGCAGTACTAGTGTATAACACTTGATATGTATCTAGGCGAAATGTCGGTGCTATGTAGTCAACACTAATCAGCAACAGGAAGTGACGACGTTATTATCAACAGAATAATCAGTGATTTGAGATTCGAGACGAGAGATTTGATTTACTGAAAATACAACATCAATTGGTCTTGTGATATTTCTGTAAGCTCTTTAAATGCTCATTTCCATCCAAGATTGTGACACGTTAGTGAAACAGATTACTACCAATAATGTAATATAGTTCGGCCCAAAAGGATAACACATATCGTCTGTCGAATGACTGCACGCGGCTCGTGGGCACGTAAAGGAAGTTTTGAGCGACGAATTTATTAATTTATTTATCGGTGGTCCAAAAATAAGCTCACTAACTATGAGTGTGAGAACACGAGCAGACATGTAGAACCAGGAAGTCTCGATACATGTACGTCTGGTATTGGAGTGGGTTAACATAGGATGTAAACTTCCGTTACCAGTGTCAATTTGTTTGTGCGTCCGTATTTCTATGATGTAAACTTCCGTTACCAGTGTCAATTTGTTTGTGCGTCCGTATTTCTATGATGTAAACTTTCGTCACCAGTGTCAAATTGTTTGTGCGTCCGTATTTCTATGATGGATGTCGAATACTGACGGAATAACTTAAAAAATAGGTTTTTAGAAGATGATGATAGGTGAAGACTAAGGGAAAGTTTTATGTGTTTTGCTATCGTTATTTCATTGAGAAGTATTCTGCCTCCTTGCGTGAATTGAATAGCAAAAATGTTGTTCAAAATAAAAGTTTGTTTTCTTTCTTTCAGTTGTTCTGCAAGGTGTAATTTTAACATGAAAGCATTAGATGAGAGAAAAGTTACAGAAAGATGCCAACTATTCAAGGAAATACTTCTGAATTCTGATTGTTTGTCCCTTCTCTAGAAAGAAAACGATCTTTAACGGGACTCCTGGCCACCGAAGCCTATAATTAAATAGCTATTAAATCAGCGATAGACATTTAAAAAGAAAATACACATGCAAAGTGTATGAAAGCGATTAACCTTAACAAGCAAACAATCTTGGAAATGTTTTTTGTCGAGAGCAACTGCTCAAATATCAATGGTGGATCTTATATTGTGTTGTAGCATACCCAAGGCAGCGTGTACAGATTCCACTAGGTGACCATTGGTTTCATCGGGTTCTAAGTCATAACGTGTACGACCGATTCAGTCTGCGCGAGCATACATCTTAATGGTCGTGGCGATTATGATAACGACAACGATCATAAAAATAATAGAAATGGAACGAAATTTTGTTTTCGCTTCAAATTACATTCTAATGATCGTCCGAAGTTCCAACTTAACTTAAAGCAGCAAATGTAGCATATATGAACTATCGTTAACTATAATTACGCAGTACTTTTTAACAGCTGCATTTGCTATTATGTAACGTACATTTTGGATGACTGCAGCATAAACCTTTTTCATAGTGGTTAGATGCATAGACAATCTCAGGAGCAGTAGAAAATTTCAAAATGATCGGAGTGTTCTCATTGTGCATTTAAGAAGATTCGCCTATTCTATGCAGCAAGCACTTACCTTATTGGGTTTATGTTTTGCACAATTAACATCTTGGGGTGGTTATTCAGACTACAAGCTCGCCAGCGGTGTCAAATGAGACATCATGTCAAATAAGTCACAGATGAGAGCTAAACACAGTTTTGGAATTGTTGTAATAAGCACCGAAGACTAAAGTAAAGACGCCGATTGTGCTAGGCTTTAACCTCACTCGGTTACTATGATAATGCAACGGAGTGTCATAAAGATTTCATCCATTAAAACCTGCGATAGAGCTAATCACAATGTTATCAGGGGAGAAAATAACATATTTTAAGGGGAGATTATCACAGTACTTTTAAGGGAGATGATAATAATATTATCATGGGAGAAAATAAAATATCATCAGGGGAGTTTATCACAGTCCTATGAGGGGAGATGATTATAATATTTATTAGGGGAGTTTATCACAGTTCTTTGAGGGGAGATGATTATAATATTTATTAGGGGAGTTTATCACAGTCCTATGAGGGGAGATGATTATAATATTTATTAGGGGAGTTTATCACAATGTTATCCGTTTTTGAATTCGAAGTTGTGTCATTGACGCTGCGCTGTAATTATTTTACGTTAATTACTTTCGTTTAAACATATCTTCACCGTATGCTCATTTATCATTAATTTCAAACCTACTGTTTTGGTTTCTTTAATATTACATTGTGTATCAATGTACATGTAGATAAATTACTGTGTGTTACATCGTGTACCACCCTACTGAAAAGTCCACCGGCTTGTTGAAATAAAATAAAATGGAACTAAATACAAAATAGACTCGTTTCATAAATTTTATTTGAAATGGAAGCGCGTGTTAGGAACCTGTAATATATGTATTTGTCTTTTTCATTGTTTATAGTATTTGCAACACCTAGTGTTATATGAAGACACGGGTAAGTGGGACAGGGATACATAGAAGTAAAACATGAATAGATTCCGAAATAATTGATTGACAGGTTTCACCACTAGCTATTAGATGTACCGAGGTACCAACCCTGCAACGGGAATGATTCGACAACAATATACGCATGCCGACAGAAAAGCAGATCCCATAGAAGCAACATATGTCGTCTCTTTGGGAACGTTAAACATTATGACGAGGATGGTTTGCAATACAAGAACACAGCAAGAGAGCTGCATGTGGTTCATTATTTTGTTTTCCGTCATCCAAATACTAAATATTCGAACTTACAATTTTTCGCTTGGGTCTCCTTGCTCAATATTAACCCATCATATCGTGTGCGTAAACGGAATTAACCAGATAATTTTGTAATTGTGAGCATTAACTAGAATTTGACATTAAATGACAAGCGCTAAATATCTGAAAAAGACGACAGCGGCTAACATCGTCTGGTCCAGTTTCTAAAATAAGTTAATTGTTTCAGAAGGAACTTACATAATAACTTGAGGATAGAGATACGGTTGCTATAGGTCGTTCTTGTCTACTTACTAATCAAACATCCACACATTTGTTTGTACCTGTAGAAGTAGCATTTTCGGAATTCGTCATTGGCTTATCTTTCTATAGTTTGTTTTCCTGTTACCTGTAATATTTCACCAAATGAACGAAACGAACACACTCAGTATTTATCTTAAAGAACACACAAAAAGAGAGACAAAAATAATAGTATACGCCACATACGCGACACTTGAAAAGAGAGCGTTAGACTTTCTATCATACACTAGTGTACTATTGTATGCTCTAGTGGAAAGGGAAGTACGGGGACTTAAATTACATTATGAAGTTTTCTGAAGATGATATTATCAATAATACAGACCTTTCGACAGCAATGAAATTTAACTAAAAGAGCACAAGACAAAAATACGTATCACGTATTCAACATTTACCTAAAGGGGTCTTGGTTCCCTAGGTCTTGATGATTAGTGTGGTTGAACTGGACATCAGATAAATACAGCCCTAGTGTATTCCTGGGCAAATATTGGTAGAATCCGGTCTGCAGAAATCAGGCACAAGAAGTGATGTCATTATCATTAGGAGGTGACGTTATTATCAAATTGATCGGGAAAGATGTTGAAACTCGGTGTGAGATTTGATAAAACGAATACATGTAAATCTTGCTTTATTCATATAAGCTCTATAAATACTTAATTTTGCTCTGGATGTTTTTGTATATGACATGCTAGCGTAATAGAATATCACGTATAACGCAATATGCATCGTCCCAGAGGAAGTTATTTCAGTATGGACAAAGAAATTACAAATAATGTTGCTCCATCGCTTGACGTTCCGCACCGAGAGGATATATCATATCGTCTGTCCGAATGACCGTGCGTGTCTCTTGGGCACGTAATTTATGAATGATCCGAAAATAAACTTATTCGCAACAATAAGTGTTAGAACAGAAACATGTATAACTAGGAAGCCTCGATAAATGTACCTCTTGTATTTGTGTGGGTTAAGATCGGATGTCAACTTCCGACAGAACAGTCAAGTTGTTTGTACGTCCTTAAATCCATGATTGATGTGGAAAACTGACGGGACAAACATAACACATAGGGTTCGGGAGATGAAAATTGATGATGACCATAGGGAAGTTTAATGTTTCTCACTATCGTGCTTGCATTGGGACACATTCCATTTCCAGGGAGCTGTTCGTTTATGTGGAACAAACGGTTTGTCGAAAAACGCAAATGTTTAAGCAAGCTTTGTAAGGCTTTGTCAAGGCTCGCCTGAAAGCAGCATCATATTTCTAGGTCCGACCTTATTTCATAAACGAACAACTCTGATCCAACCGGTTCAGCCGTTTGGACCGCGATAAACGAAAACGGCCCTGGTGTGATATGAATAGCCAGTTGTTTTTATTAAACCTTGTAATCTTTTTGTCACTACCTTGGTTTCCTCTTTGAGAACGTGACATCACATTGATTTGACCTAGACTTACAACACAGATGTCGTCGATGCAGCAGATTGTGTGTTCTTTCTGGAACACCTGGTCTTATTCTCGATGTACTGTTAACGGGTTTTCGTGAACATCTTTCCTCAGTTTATGGAGTATATTCCTTAGGTGATCGCTTTTAAGTGGTAAGTAATGTTTTGTTTACACTTCTATTCAATTATCTTGTTTCTGTTTATATACTCCATACAAATAATATTTGTGGGTATTTTCTTTTGCAGACTTATATGGAGAAACTATTCACTGGTGCTTTTTCCTTCGCGGTCTTTGATCCGCTTACGATTGTCAGTAAAAGCAGTACAGTTTAAAAAATGTAAATCAAGGTAGTTCTAGAGGACGCTAAAACATTATTTATATACATTTTGTCTCAAATGACCATGTTAGTGAATTATTTTGCTTAAGTGTTACGCGCACGTCAAGGCATAACTTTAAAAATAAATGGATTTAGATTTTCTTTTTTATTTCGTTGTTGAAAATAAATGCTTGGTTTTTATTCGCCAGTTGTTCTGCAATGTGTAACTTTAATGTAAAAATACTAGATAATAGCAAAGATGCAGAATGATGACAACTGTTCCAGGAAATATTTCTTATTTCTCTCTTTTTTTTCTCCTTCTCGAGAGACAAAACGATCTTTAATGGGACTCCTAGCCACCACAGCCTATAATCAAATAACCATTAAACCAGTGATGACTTTTAGATAGAAAATACACATGCAACGTGTCGGAAAACTGACAAACCTAAGCAAACACATAATTTTAAATGTTTCTGTCGAGAGCAACTGCTCACATATCAATGATGGATCTTATAAAGTGTTGTAGCATACCAAAGGCAGTTTGTACGGATTGCTCTAGATGACCCCTGGTTTCATCTGGTTAATAGTCATAACGTGAACGACCGAGTCAGTCTGCGCGAGCATAAGTCGTGATGGTGATGGCGATAATGATGATGATGGTGACGACGATGTGGAAGATAGTTATAATAAAAAACAAGTAGAAAAATTATAGGTTTAAATGCTTTAAATTACATTTTAATGATCGTTGGGTGTCCACTTAATACGTTTAAGACTTAAACAACTTAGAGTAACAAATAGAGCATGTATGGACACGAGTTTATTACAATGACGCGTCTCATTTTAACTGCTACTATTGTACGTATATTTTGGACTTCCGGCAATTTTTTCCCTTCGTCACATATCTAAGTCCTGTTACTTAACGCTTGTCTCCGAGACTTTCTAAGTAATGTCACTGGGGCCCTATCTTGAAAGCGGATAGAGGTTACGCTCACTTGTGTTTGCAGAGAACGGAAATGAGCTTTACCCCTGTTATTTCGAGGAAGGGCTATTGGATACTTCATGTACTTTGGAAAGCGGCGAAAACACATGCATGCACAATATTGTGAGCAACAATTTTAGGGGGAGATACTAACAATGTTATCGGGGGGAGATACTCACAGTGTTATCAGGGGAGATAATCACAATGTTATCAGAGGAGATAATCACAATGTTATCAGGGGAGATATTAATATAATAAGACAATATAATCACAATGTTATCGGGAGATAATAATTAAATAAGAAGAGATAATCACAATGTTATCATGAGAGCTAATCACAATGTAATCAGGGGAGATACTAATATAATAAGGTGAGCTAATCACAATGTCATCAGGGGATATAATAATGTGATAAGATAAGATGATCACAATGTTATTAGGAGAGCTATTCACAATGTCATCAGGGGAGATAATTATATAATAAGACAAGATTATCACAATGTTATCAGGGGAGATAATAATATAATAAGATAAGATAATCACAATGTTATCAGGAGAGCTAATCACAATGTTATCAAGGAAGATAATCACAATGTTATCAGGGGAGATAATCACAATGTTATCAGTGGAGATAATCACAATGGTATCAGGGGAGATACTCACAATGTTATCAGGGGAGATAATAATATAATAAGGTGAGATTATCACAATGTTATTAGGGGAGATAATAATATTATAAGGTGAGATAGTCACAATGTTAGCAGGGGAGATACTAACAATGTTTTAAGGTATCAAATTGTTATGTGGGGAGCTTATTAGCAAGTTATTCGGAGAGCTTATCACGATGTTGTAAGGGGAGATAATCACAATCTTTTCAGGGGAGATTATCATAAAGTGAGCAGGGGAGCTTTAAGCGTTGTCATTGATAGTATATATATTGCCTTAATCGGTCGTTAATACCACTTTATTTGATAAATTGGACACATCTGGGTCTAAATTTTAAAAGAACACCGTTTATGAAAATGTCATTGTGTTTCACCTTTGATTATTTTCATCATTATTGTTTGTTTGGGGTTTAACCTCCACGCAAGAGCCAATGTGATATGAAGACAGCAGTAAATAATAAAATAATCTACATGTATATAAGTTATTAAAACTGATTTAGAAATAAATATGTCTGATAGTTCACTTGTTATATACTTTTTGTATAACTTAGGCTTGTTTAACACCTGCGATTTGATCTGTATTACAGGTGTACGATAATCCGATTGGTATAACAGGATTAGAAATGTCTATAATTAGTAGTGGAGGCCGTGAAAAGTCAGACATAAATAAGCCATGCCTAATCCGTAGATATTTACAGACGGGGGGTGCTCAGTGGACTGTGGTCACAAATGCTGTATGAAAGGGTAATTAATCAATCAGTGGAAAGGATAAACTTAGTTGACACATCTTAAAATAAGGGGGAAAAATGAAGTTAAAAATGTTAATTTCATGATTGAAAAACACAAAAAGATTTCCTAATCACGTGAGAGGATAAGCATTTCCTGGAAAAGTTTATAAAAGTTTATAATCTTTAGGAGCTGTTCCTTTATACAAAATTGCACATTCAAATATACCATTCATTGAAAGAACTGGAATCCCTTAGGGATTTTTAAACCCTTACATTGTATGTATGGAAATGGTTTCAATATCCTGTACCTTTGCCACATCTTGAAAATTAAACTGAAAATGTAGTCAGAAATTCAACATTGTTTCCCGTATTTTGTTCTAATTGTTGAACAGACACTCCTTCCCTTCCCTGACACTGGAGCTGGATATAGTAATGCAAAAACACTTGTATCCATTATGAAGGATACACCAAGATTGGGCTATTGAGGATCTTACCTGGTTACGATTAGTACTCACTCACACAGGACCATGTTAATTATCTGCAGTGTAGGGTAGGTAAAAAGATTGTCCAGGTGAACATTTTTTCCTCAACTTTTCTTTTTTGTTCGAGTTAGGAAGCATGCAGTAAGCCAGTTATTGCATGATTTCTCGTCACTCGGGACTTATTACACCCTCACTTCGCTCGGGTGTAATAAATCCCTTGTTACTCGAAAACCATGCAATAACCTTTACCTACCAGAGGATAATGATGGAATTTACACTCCAGCCCAAAGATGTCTGAATACACTAATCTAAAGGCCAATTGTAAATGGTATTTTCATTTGAAACTCGGACTAATGACAAACACTGGCGCATGATGCTGGGGCGACGGTTTCCTTTCAACACGCATTAAAAAAACAAAAGAGAAATTTCTTATGCGTTGTTCTAATTATAGGTAAATCTATTTTGACACGTATATTGAGTAAATATTAGGGGGTTTTGGAGAAATGAAAAATAGGTATTTTCCAATCCGGAGTAAATTACTTCTTCAGTAAATATTCTACAAATTTAAAAGAGATTCAAGATTTATTGTTTTTATAGACACACCCAGGAATGGAATATTTGTCAAATTTGTTCGTTCACTTCTAAGGAATCCGGGGGATGTCTCGGCTAAGAAAGGTTTTACGAGTTACATTGTTCTTAACCACCAGTTACCAGCGGGCGTCTCGGTACAGCAATTATTTGGTAAAAAGTTCTGGAATGATTGCTAAAATGACCTGAATGTTAATTTTGGACCCAGTGCCTGTATTTATGAAACCGTTGTCATGCTCAAGCATTGATTCCGAGATCAAACCAACTTTATCGTAGCTCGCTGAAATCAAATCTCTTGGTAAAAATGTCAGATGTAAACCCTAAAAACAACTAAAAACGATGTCTTGCTTTAATCCTCTCCCGAATTCTTCCAAATTATTGTCACCATTGATAGTATTATAGAATCATCACTGGTTCAACACATTGGACTTGAGCACGAAATCCGAGTTTGAGCATGATGACGGGATCATGTATACGGGCCATTGTCTTCTACAGATATCTTACAGACATACTTATCCTCAAACAAGCGATTTATTTTTATCAAAAGTACATGGTATGTTGGGTTTAATGTACGAAGAAGACCAAGGTTTGCAAGTCCATTTTATTTAATCCTTGGCGCGATAGTTATTGTCGGTGTAAAACATTAAACACTATAATACTGGTATGTTCATTTCTCAAAATGGATTTAATATTTTACTACTCTCTGCTAAGATTTCATGATCGGGTATTCTGGGTTCATTTTCGGAAAGCATTGATTACATGTAAAATAGTTATGGAACATCTGATACAATCTGTTCGTGGATTGAAACATGCTTGTCTGGGAGTTCGGGTAGACTATGACACGACAGTGCTCCTGCATCCTACAGGGTTTAATCATTGTAACCCAGTCATGTAAGACGTTTTTAAAGAGATTTTTAGATGAAACCCCTCATTTCAACTTACTTACAAAAAAAAAAAAAATATTGTTGAAAAAGCGTTTAATTTCCCCACCACAGAGTTGAGATTTTGAGTTTGGGCTATACTCGACTTCATTTAACATAATGCTGTGTTATATATATTTTACAATACAACTCCAAAGTAGTATCAAACATATGCGGAAACCAAACAGTTTTTGTAATACTGAAAATTTTGTCATGCATTCGTTAAGTCGATCAAAAATGCCAATATAACGTAAATGTTTATTGAGGCCCTTCAATGGACATGTTTACTGGTACGTGCTGTTCTTACACTTGCATTGCAGTCCTTGCAAAGTCGCTTGAAGAACAAACGAGAACATTTGTTTTCGCAAAAAGTAATGTTTTATAGTAGACATCATGCTACATTTTGTAAAAATAAAATTAACAACTAAAATGTTTATCAATCATTACTTCAATACTGACATACACACTGAATTC